GCGAGTCTGGGAGTCCGCAACGCTCCAGCGAGCCTTGCTAAGAAGCGCATCCATCTCCTTTACCCAGTCATCGAGGGCAGGGCATTTGGTGTCAGGATGGATCTGAGATTGACGGAGAAGGTCAGATGGGACACAAGGATGGTATCCCAAGTCACAGTAGTAGGGAGACATGCCAGTGGCCGGTGAAATAGCATGGTTATAAGCAATCTCTGCGTGAGCAAGATGCAGATCCCAATCAGAGTCATTCTCAACAAACTTCTTGAGGATAGTCCCAAGAGTTTTGTTGGTGACCTCGGTTTGTCCATCTGACTGGGGGTGATAGGAGGAGGAGAGGCGCAGCTCGGAGCCATAGATCTCATCGATTCCACCCAGAAATGAGAAGCAAAGCGCGGATCGCGATCAGAGACGATGCTAGTGGGAAGACCGTGATGGATAGCAATACGGTTGAAGTATAAGGAGGCGATGTCTTTAGCTGAACTAGCATACTTGCAAGGGAGGAAATGAGCATGCTTAGTCAACCAACAGACAACAACGAAGATGGCATCGTGGCCTCGTGGGGTAGGGGGAAGAAGAAGGATGATGAAGTCTATGGAGACGGAAGTCCAACGCTGAGTTGGAATGGGTAAGGGCTGAAGAAGACCGTAGGGGGGGTGGTTGGGAATGTTGGCCTCCTGGCAGATCCTGCAGGTGCGGACGTACTCCTTAGTGAAGGGACGACGGTGCTCCCAGTAGTAATGGCGGTAGAGGCAGTCAAGTGTCTTGAAGACACCGAGATGACCGGCGGCACGCTGGTCGTAACGCTCAGCGACGGCCTGAACACGGAGCTGACCAGTAGAGGGCACACATAAGCGAAGATTACGGGTACCTTGGCGACCAAGTCAGTATAGGAGTCTAGAGGGATCGAGCTGGAAGGTAGGGACGGACTTGCCAGCCTGTAGGTCAGCGTAGATGGACTGAAACTCAGGGCACTGGGTGTATACGCGGCGGTACTTATCCAAAAAGGCGGGGTGGATGGTGGGAGCTTAAATAGCAGATAGCTGACGATACTCGCACTGAAGGTCGGGGCGGCGGGATAAGGCATCTGCTACGCGATTGCTTTCTCCGGAAATCTTCTTGATGGTAAAATCGAACTCGGAGAGGTCACGCCACCAACGAGCCTGACGGGAAGTGAGCTTAGGCTTCGTCTGGAAGGCGGCGAGGACAGAGTTGTCTGTCAAAACGGTGAAAGTGTGACCGTGCAAGTGATCACGCCACTTCTTAACAGCGTAGACCAGCGCAAGGACCTCGCGCTCGTCGGCAGTATAGTTACGCTCAGCGGGAAGTAGCTGTCGAGATAGATAAGCAACCGAACACTCTCCATCGCGAGACTTGACTGTACCGTCATCAGCGACGTCGGGAATATAAGGGGGTGGGGCCCCTGAGGGGGTGGGCTGGATGGGTGCAAGATGAGCCGCAGTCGCTGGAGGAGGAGGAGGGAAGTGAGGAATGCGAGGGAGGCGAGAATCTGTGGAATCGGGAGAAGTAGAGGGGGCTGGGTAGATCTGGGAGAGAACGGCTCCAATAGCGAAGTCGGATGCGTCGGTGGTGACAATGAATGGACGCGAGTAGTCGGGTAAGTGTAAGACAGGAGCTGACGTGACAAGTCGCTTGAGAGAGCGAAAAACATCCTCGTGAGCCGGGGTCCAATGAAAAGGTAGACATGCGCGGGTCAGAGGGGTAAGCTGGGAAGAATACTGCGCGTAGTTTTTAAGAAAATGACCATAGTAGTTGGTCAACCCAAGGAAACTACACAGCGCAGGAAGAGAGGTAAGAGTGGGTCAGTCCACAATGGCCTGAATCTTCGAGTTGTCCATGTGGAGTCCGTGCTCGGAGACCTGATGCCCGAGGAAGTCGACTTTGGGTTGAGCGAAGCTGCATTTGGAAAGCTTCGCATAGAACCCGTGGTCGCGTAGTCGCTGCAGGGCAGTGCGAAGGTGGATCAGGTGATCCTCTAGGGTACGACTGTAGATCAGGACGTCGTCAATGTAGACTAGAACATAGTCCTCAAGAAGGTCTTGGAACATCGTGTTCATAGCCGTCTGGAAAGTGGCGGGGGCATTACGGAGACCGAAAGGCATGATGGTAAACTCGTAGTGCCCGAAACGAGAACGAAAAGCGGTCTTGGGATGGTCCTCCTCGGCTACGCGGATCTGGTGATATCCGCTACCAAGATCGATCTTCGTGAAGAAATGGTGGCCGGAGAGGCAGTCAAACAGGTTATCCGCGCGAGGCATGGGATAGCTATTTTTGACCGTGTAGTGGTTTAGACCGCGGTAATCAATATAGAGACGAAGGGTGCCGTCCTTCTTGCGATCGAAGAGGACCGGGGCACTCCATGGGGAAGTACTCGGTTTAATGAAGCCCTGGCGAAGCAGCTCCTCAAGTTGGCGCTTGAGTTCCTGGGCTTCAGGAACCGAAAGGCGATAAGGGGCGTGATTCTGAATGCGATAGTTGGGCTCGAGTTGGATGTGGTGCTCGATACCACGCATGAGAGGAATGCTGCTGTAGGAGACGGATGGTGGGAAAACATCGTGATACTCACGAAGGAGGGCACCAACGCTAGGCAGCAAGGAGGAAAGAAGGGTGTCAAATTCCTTGGCAACGGCAGCGTCTGAAGCAGAGGTGGAGGGGGTCTGTATGAGGGTAGGGACTGAGGGTGTATCAGTGGTAAGGGAAGCGAGAAAGTGAAGTGGGCTAGCAAGGGTAGAGGAGGTTAAGGAAGCTGAGGAATCAGGAGGGTCGGGGGGCTCGGGAGGTGGTGGATCGAGCTCGACCAACTCAACGTCCTGATGCATGGAGTTGCAGGTGAGGAAATCCGTGATGTCGATAGCATAAAGTTCTACATCAGACTCACGAAGGAGGTGGTGGAACTGGGTAGGTGTACAAATGGTGACATTAACAGGGGGGGGAAGTGTAGAGTCCGATTTGCCCAACAATGGAATACGGTATTGTTTCCCGTCCTTGGCGTCGAGGACGAGATCGTTGTGGGTCCAATCGGGGCCGGCATGAGCGAACTGATGGGAATAGGCAGTGCCAAGAACCAGATCATATAGGGTTTCCATGACATCGAAGGTCCACTTGTCATGGAACCGAGGGGCCTTGCGAAGGCTGTGGGGAATCTGCAGGGGGAAGGAGAATGGAAGATCAGGCACCACCGAATCAACGAAGGATTTGGCCTGATTGTCGCCAAGCGTGGCAGTGACAATGGAAGGGTAGGCGGATGTATAGAGAGATGCCTCCTTAACTACGCGAGGATGAATGAAGTCGCCAGTAGAGCCAGAGTCCCATAGTGCGCGATACACTCTAGTAGAGGTCCCGAGGCGCACTGGAATAATCGGTAAGGTGCGATCGGGATTGTGTAGGCGTTGAGACATCGCGGACAGGGTGCGCTTTTTAAGGCGGAGACGTTCCTGGTGGACCTTAACACACTCAAGATCCAGGAAGTCGATGATATCCTCGACTGCAATAAGGGAAGCACTGCAGCGGGCCGTGCGAAGAGCAAGCCTGGTAGTAGGACGTGGAGGAGGGGGGTCACGAGGGACGCTAGGCAAGGAAGGTGGAGGCATACTAGTGTCGATAGGGTCACCCACAGACAAGGTTGGACCAGAGTCATCGAGAAGAGTAGCAAGCGGTGCAAAGGTAGAGTCGTGAACGGGTATGCCTGTTACCGTAGGAGAATGAGGGGAATGGGACATCGCAGCTAGGTGGGTGCTGCGCTGGAGGTCAAGATGGGGGGAACAGCCTGAGGGCGAGCCTGCTGTGCGAAGTGACTCTGGAGGGCGTCTGCGTACGGGCAGGTAGAGGAGGTATGGCCGGCGAGGCGGCAGTGGGTGCAGATGCCTCGTGTGCGAAGGTCCTCACTCTCAGTGATGGTCAAGCGGCTGCGAGGGAACACAAAACCCGCTGGGAGAGGTAGTTGAGTGACCGTAGAGCGAGTCCTGGAGGATGAGGGCTGACGTCGGAGGAGGGTGGAAAGGGCCCGGACAAGACGGTCGTCATGGGAAGAGGCGTCGTCCTCTGCGGGGGAGTGAGGGTCGGTCCCTGATCTGGGTCACTCGCGGAATCATCTGAGGCAGTGCCATCATCAATGCTCGACGGATCACGAAGCAGCGCGTGCAAGCGACGAGAGAGGAATCGTCCACGGCGGCATGTGGAAGACTGTTGAGGCTGGGAGGGGCGAGGTGCTGCAGTAGTAGCGGAATGGGCAGCGGCGGACTGAGGCGAGGGGCCAACGAGTGGAGCATAGGTGAGATGAATGGCCCTTGCAATGTTGAAAGCCTCTGTTAAGGTGGAGATGGAATACGCGATCATTTGCAACTGGAATGACTGAGGTAGACTTGCGCAGAATCGCTGGATCACGGTGTCCTCGGGAATGGCTGTGACTGGAATATGAGCGCGTACACGGTGAAATGCCGTGATGTATGACTCTAAAGCATTGTCGCCACCAAGCCATCTGATCTCAGCCACACGGGTAATCGGGTCGCGGGTTGGCGCAGGACGAGAAAAGTACTGTTGAAGTAAGTCACGAAACTCATGATAAGACATGCCCTCATGTACACCACCCTGTGAGCGAAGGGCGAGGAAGTCGTGCCAGGTGGAGGCTGCACGACCTGTAAAGCGAGAGGACATCTCAACGGGCCACAGTTCCATGGCGACACCATGGTAGCGAAGCTGCTCCTCAGCAGTAGTGATCCATCCTTGGAGCTCGGAGGCCCTGTCATCAAACTGTGGGAGGTGGTCCCGTCGAAACTGTGGAATATACGTCGGGGGTCGGTAATGGGTAGGGAGAGGGAGGGCCGATTGTGACAAGAGGACAAAAGTAGTGGCACCAGCAGGACCATTAGAAAGAGCGGGGAGTTGGGGCAAAGGTCCCTGACACATCGTGGTGGCTGGTGGTGGGAGCGTGAAATGCATCGCAACGGCCTGTGTCTGATGCTGTCGATAAATGAAAGGGGCAACAGGTTGTGCCGCGAGGTGGGGAGGCAGGGTTTGATCTCCTTGGAGTTGGTGGATGTGATCATGGGCCAGGGTGAGCTGGCGTTGGAGCTCAGCATTCTGTGTCCTGGGTGTAAGGGGGGGGGCGAAGGAGCGGGGGTTGAAGAGGGAGGTGCCGTGGAAATTAACGCAAAGGAGGTGGCGGGACAAGATGCCATGGGTCCTGAGGAGGGAGGTGCAGGGGCAGAAACCTGGGAGGCAGAGATGGCTGCAGAGGAAGGGTGGGACTGGGGTGAGGACATGCAGCCCATGGAAGAGACAAGCGTGTAGATGACGACAGTCGAAGAAGGAGAGGAAGCTGGCATAGATGCAGATGAGGGGAGTGGGGAGGGAGATGTACTGGTACAGGGCTCCAACTGTGACACGAGGGCCGACAGGGATGAAAAGTCGGTATGGAGGGCCGTGATTTTGGCCTCGAGTGTGGCATGCATGCGGTGGAGGAGGTCCAATATGGGATCCGGCTGGGAAGTTGGGCCCGAACTGGTTGCCAGAGGGGTGGCCATTGAGTCGGATGTAGGCTCGTGAGCTAGGAACGCAAGCCCTTCGCTGGTGGAGCCGGGGGGACTCGCAAATTCGGTAGTCTGCATGGGGTTAAGGGATGGAGACGATGAGGAGGGAGAACTGGGGGGGGGACGCTCAGTGGCCGTGGTCGGTGCGTCAAAGCGGACGAGTCGATTGGCAGCACGAGTGTCTCGAGCGCGATTTTGGAGTGTGCGCTGTTAGATGTCACGGGGAGCCAGGGTGACACGCAGATGAGGGGGGTAAGGAACTGTGAGGGGAAGGCGAGTAGAAATGAGTCTAACAAATTTCTGAAGTTGAATGAAGGGAAATTCGGAGTCAGGTTGATGGAGAAAGAGGAAAATTCCCAATTCCAGCAAGAAAATGAGAGGAGATTTTCACAGAACAGCGTGGGGCATAAAGAAAAGCATGCATAAGACAATCACAGAGTCAAAATAAAATTCCGTAATTATTTGCACGTAAATTCAAAATTTCAAGGAAATTGAAACAAAATTCAAGGAATTTCAAAAATATTTGTAAAAATTTTCGAAAGTTCAAGGAGGTGATGAAAGATGTAGAGATGAGCTGATAGGAAAATTTTGAAATAAAATGGAAAATTCCTCAACGTATTTTCGGAATTAAAAAAAAATCAAAGGCAATTTGAAATAAAAGTAGAAAACTAATTCCTAAATTAAGAATTTACGATGAAATTTCATAAAGAATTAGTGATAGTCGCGTAAAGTAAGTTGAGAGAAATTCCAGCATTGTCTAGATCAAATGGATAAAATTTCTTGACTTGTTACAAGATTAAAATGAATTTCAAAGAAATTTCAAAGGAATTCAAAAAGGTTTTCAAAAACAACGGAGGAATTTCGGAATTTTACGGGAGATAGAAAATAGAAGGAAATTCTACATTGGAAGAATTATTTGTAGTAAATTCCGAAATTTATTTCACGAATTTCTGAAATGAAATTGAATTTTGAAATTAAATAACGAAAAGAATCAAGAAACTATAGAAATTTGCATAACTTTTGAACAAGACTGCGGAAATTCGTTCCGATCACGGCGTTGGGAGAAAAGAAGATGACAATTAATCCTATCGAATTAGATTGAAATTCTGAGCGGCAGAATGGAGGCATTGTCATGCAAGCACAAAGAAGGAAGATACGTGTCACACGTAGTAGGAATTTTGGATGATGCGACCAATTAGGTGGGAGGGTGGAGGAGAGAAGGGGTGTTGGATAGGAGATAAAAGATGAGGAAAAAGATGAGATCTTTGAGAGAGACCGGCGAGAGGAAGGGAGGGGATTAGTAGGAGGGAGATAGATTGACAATACCGCGCTCCCGGTCGGCCGGGAGCAATCACGGTCCTTCCTCCTAGTCGAGGAAGGTCTTCAATGAACCCTAAAGGGTCTTCTCGATCGTTCCCCCGGTGGAACGACGAGGTCGCCGGATTAAATGCCCGAACTGATGATGAGGTCGACAACTGATGATGACGTCGGCAATGGCGGCAATGACCAGGACGATGATGATGCTGATGATGATGATGCTGATGGCGGCCATGAACCAGTTATCCGTGAGGTAACTTTCTGACACCTCTAGCTTGAAGTCCTGAACGCTAGAGGATCGATAGGCCGCGCTCTCACTGTTTGTATTCGTACTAGAAATCAAAATGAAATGAGCTTTTGTCCTTTTGCTCCACACGAGATTGCTGATCTCGTTGGGCTCATCGTAGGACACCTGCGTTATCTTCGAACAGATGTGCCGCTCCCATCCATAATCCCGTCGTGCACGTGCGCGCGTGAGAAAGGTAGATGGGTGGAGGGAGCGGCAGGGCGATGATGACTTGGCTGGGGATACAGGGTCGGGGTAGGGGCGGGGATGTGGTCGGGAGCAGGGCGGAGAGAAGTATGGGGGGGCGATAGAGTGGGAGGG